ACCTCTGGAGGAACCACTGTTTTGAGTCAACCCTGCACAGTTTGTTGTCGAACATACATGATGAACAAGGTGTGCCCGAGAAATGTTTTTTCCCTAAGGGAAGCACTTATACAGAATAGCTTGCAATCAGGAAATGAATAGTTTCCTCTTCATTTACAAAACAAAGAATGAGTACAAATCATATCTGATCTATCAACTATAACAGGAATCTCCAAACTTTCTTAAGAAAGGGCCAGTTTACAGACCCGCAGAGTTTAGAGGGGCTGGACTGTGGCCAGTGGGAGGTAACAATGACCTATCTTTAGTATTAGGGGGAGGAATAGTGCCCCATCATTGATGTGAGTGGGAAGAATAGTGCCCCTTCGTTGGTGTCAGTTGGAAGAATAGTGCCCAATCGTTGGTGTCAGTGACAGGAATAGTGCCCCATCATTGATGTCAGTGGGAGGAATAGTGCCCCATCCTTGATGTCAGTGGGAGGAATAAAGCCCCATCCTTGGTGTCAGTCGGAGGAATAGTGCCCCATCCTTTGTGTCAGTGAGAGAAATAGTGCCCCATCCTTGATGTCCATGGGAGGAATAGTGCCCCATCCTTGATGTCCATGGAAGGAATAGTGCCCCATCCTTGGTGTCAGTGGGAGGAATAGTGCCCCATCCTTGGTGTCAGTGGGAGTTAACAATGCCCTATCTTTAGTATTAGGGGGAGGAATAGTGCCTTATCATTGATGTGAGTGGGAAGAATAGTGCCCCATCATTGGTGTCAGTGGGAGGAAAAGTGCCCCAATGATGGTATCAGTTGGAGGAATAGTGCCCAATCGTTGTTGTCAGTGAGAGGAATAGTTCCCCATCCTTGGTGTCCGTGGAAGGAATAGTGCCCCATCCTTGATGTCCATGGGAGGAATAGTGCCCCATCCTTGATGTCCGTGGGAGGAATAGTGCCCCATCATTGGTTTCCATGGAAGGAATAGTGCAACATCCTTGGTGTAAGTGGGAGGAATAGTGCCCCATCCTTGGTGCCAGTGGAAGGAATAATGTCCCAATCTTGGTGTCAGTGGGAGGAATAGTGCCCCATCCTTGGTGTCCGTGGAAGGAATAGTGCCACATCCTTGGTGTCAGTGGGAGGAATAGTGCCCCATCCTTGGTGCCAGTGGGAGGAATAATGTCCCATCCTTGGTATCCGTGGGAGGAATAGTGCCCCATCCTTGGTGTCAGTGGGAGGAATAGTGCCCCATCCTTGGTGTCAGTGGGAGGAATAGTGCCCCATCCTTGGTATCCGTGGGAGGAATAGTGCCCCATCCTTGGTGTCAGTGGGAGGAATAGTGCCCCATCCTTGGTGTCAGTGGGAGGAATAGTGCCCCATCCTTGGTGTCAGTGGGAGGAATAGTGCCCCATCATTGGTATCCGTGGGAGGAATAATGCCCCATCCTTGGTGTCAGTGGGAGGAATAGTGCCTCATTGTTTAACACAGGCGGTGAGGCCCCTTAGTCCATGAATGGGCCATGTGTTCATGTGACTTGAGCCAACAGGTGCTGCGTGTAGGTGGCCCATGAAAATGTATGGGGACGCAGCAGCTGAACAGATGCAGCCGCTCATCACAATTTGACCGGCTGTGGGTGAATGGCCCTGACCACACACTGTATCCATTCGGGTCAGCTCTCACAGCAGCTGCACTGACACAACCAATCATCCCATACGCCTACATAGGCTGCCTGCACTCTGCTGTATAAACACACGGCCATGCATGGACTAATGGACCTCAGTGTTCGTGTGAATGAGGCCTAATGTAGAGTGAGTACTGACTGAATATTATGTGACATCCAGAAATATGTTCACCAAGATTTAATTGATGCTCATTCTGCTTCCATGTATTATTAGTTGAGTTGTTTTTGTTTTTCTGTCCCAAGAGCCTTGACATCAGACACAGATTAGAAGTTCCATGTCTCTCTTCATTCGCTGGCAACCTACCAGTTTAATTTCCACATTTTTCCAATATCTGCCGGAATCTTGCTCATGTGTATAAATGTATTTATCATATAAATACACTTGAAAGAGTGGAAAAGTGAGGAATTTTAAAGAAAAAGACGAACACACATGCTCTCAAACATACATTATCTAGGAGGATACAACATTGATTTGATGCTGCATCCCTCTCCTGATCGCTCAGTACTCAGTCTTCAGTGAGCAGAGAGTGGTGACTGTCAGTCACTGCTCTCTGCTCTGCTCCTCCAGTGCTCACTGGAGTGCCAGGCTGTGGAGGGGGTGTAGGTAGTTGGCTCAGGCTCTCAGTGGTGCACTGAGAGGCTAAACCAGCTGCCAGTCAGGCACCTGGGTAGATCCAGAAATTAATGTTGGGATCCCTCCAGAATATGGACCATCTGGGTGATGTCAGCCAACAGTAGACTTTACCCCACTCTTGGCGTAATACGGGTCACAGAGGTGCAGAACAAAGTGCACTGCTGTGATCTATAGATGAAGTAGGCCCAAAAGAGCTTTGGTCTTACTTCTCCTTTAAATATATGGATATATCCTCTGTGGAACTACAAGCCCCAGCAGTGCCTTTCCTGCTTGCACTGGATCTCTGCAGTGCAGGATCCTAGCACCTGATAATACACTGAACATGCTGTTAAAGCTGAACCCCAGACAAACAGTTAAATAGTCGAATACAACACATTTATGGGAACAGTTTTATCTGCAAAGGATTTGCAACCTATTCTTTACCTCATGGGACTTTGTATGGCAAAAAGTGGAAGGTAAAGAATAGGTTGTACTTGCATATATAGGGATGTTGGCAAAGTATAACTCCCATATAGATTCAATTTATCATCTGCCGAAGGATTTATATTTTATTTCTGCCAATCCAGTTCTTAGAATCACACAGCTCTGCCACACAGCGCTACCCTTTCTGCCAGGGCAGAAGACTTAACTTTTCTCTGGTATAGTTAACTGCTACCGTGCCACCCTATAGCAGAAATACTGCTACAGGGTGGCACGGGTGCGCAAAATCACACACACACACACACACACACACACACACACACACACACACACACACACACACACACACACACACACACACACGGCAGCACAGTGGCTAAATGGTTAGCACTTCTGCCTGGCAGTACTACGGGTGTTGGTTCGAATCCCAACCACGGCACCACCTGCCTGGAGTTTGCATGTTCTCCCTGTGCCTGCGTGGGTTTCCTCCGGGTACTCCGGTTTCCTCCCACACTCCAAAGACATGCTGGTAGGTTAATTGGATCCTGTCTAAATTGGCCTTTGTATATGTATGTATGAATGTGAGTTAGGGACCTTAGATTGTACACTCCTTGAGGGTTAGGGACTGATGTGAATGTACAATATACAGTGAGGAACAGAAGTATTTGAACACCCTGTGATTTTGCAAGTTCTCCCACTAAGAAATCATGGAGGGGTCTGAAATTCACATTGTAGGTGCATTCCCACTCTGAGAGACAGAATTTAAAAAAAGAATTCAGGAAATCACATTATATTATTTTTAAAGAATTTATTTGTCTTGCACTGCTGAACATGATTTTCTCAGGTGTTCAAATACTTATGTTCAGCAGTGCAAGACAAATACATTCTTTAAAAATCATACAATGTGATTTCCTGAATTTTTTTTTTTATTCTGTCTCTGAGTGGGAATGCACCTACAATGTGAATTTCAGACCCCTCCATGATTTCTAAGTGGGAGAACTTGCAAAATCGCAGGGTGTTCAAATACTTCTGTTCCTCACTGTATATGTAAAGCGTTGCGTAAATTGATGGCGCTATATAAGTATCTGTAATAAATATATATGATTTTGCATTTCGGGTAAGGGGCGTGTGCCCTACCCACGCCACCATTCACGGCCGCGGCTGTCAATCTTTGGGTCCGGCCGGTGATTTCCTCCCTGTCAGCTCGGGCACACTGCTTTAGATGCACACAGCACAGCCATCCAAAGCAGTGTGCTTCAAGTGAAGCACACTGACATGGCCCCCTATATAAAACACTCTCAGCACACAATTAACCCTTTGATCGCCCCTCATGTTAACCCCTTCCTTCCCAGTGCTATTAGTACAGTAGCAGTGCTTTTTATTAGCACTGATCACTGTATTTTTGTCACTGGGGATGTCAGTGACACTACGTCAGTTCCCCCCAGTGTCAAAATGCCCGCTGCAGTCCCGCAGTCCCTCTATAAGTCGCTGATCACCGCCATTACTAGTAAAAATTAAAAAAAAAAATTCAAGTATCTATAACGCCATTTGTAGATGCTATAACTTTCACGTAAACCAATTAATTTACACATTTGGGATTTTTTTTTAGCAAAGACATGTCGCAGAATACATTTTGGCCTAAATTTATGACGAAATTTGATTTTTTAAAACTACACATGTTTAACAGCAAAAAGTCAAAAATATTGTTTTTTTTTTCAAAATTGTCTGCAAAAAACCGCAAAAGGCAATAAAATACCACCGAAATAAAACTCAATTCGTGGGGAAAAAGGACGTAAATTTCATTTGGGTGCAGCATTGCATGACCGTACAATTGACAGTTAAAGTAACGCAGTGCTGTAACGCAAAATATGTCCCTTGTCAGGAAGGGGGGGAAATCCTCAAGAGGGCAAGTGGTTAAGGAACACTTATCTTGCTCACAGATATAACAAAACCTATCTCTCTTCCAACCTGTGATTCAGCAGTGAAAGGAGAAAACAACAGACTAATAAGCTCATCTTTCTGTTACTCTGCTCTCTTCCCCTGTCAGCATGCTTCTTGTTAGCACATGAGCACTGCTAATGTATAAATGTCCAGAGCCGCATTAACATGAGTGTTTTACATATGCCTCAAGCTCCGTCTTAATAAGATGATACATTTGCTATAAAATACAGATACACATTCTGTTTACCCAGATACATTTTATATTTTATGCATTGTATTTATTTATGCCTTTTTTTTTAGTCAAATGTGTTACTGCCCACCAAGCTGAAATTCTGCTCTGCCATCACAGGGAAGAAGAAATGCACTTGCCCTGGGCTTGGAATCTTCTACACCATCCTGTCCACCCTATTTTTCTCATCAAGCGCTTTGCTGGTGAAGAAGATTGAAGACATACACTCTGTGCAGATCAGTGCTTTCCGGTGTATTTTCCAGATGTTGTTTGTGCTTCCTGGCCTCATTTATTACAAGTAAGTTTAAACACTAGAAACCATTAGAACCTCATGAAATGTAAGGTCTCCGCTCAGGCTCCTGTAAGACCACCCGGTGTTTCCTGCAATGGGTGGTGGCTGGACGGGGTCTGTCACATATTGTGCGTATGCATAGAGAAAGATCCCAAACACCGCACACCTAGCAAACCCATTAGTATACAGGTGAAAGCAGCCTCAGCCAGCGTCATCCAAAGCCCCAATGATTAAGCCCCATGGGTATGGTGAAACGCGTAGCTTTGGATGAAGCTGGCTGAGGCTGCTTTCACCTGTTTACTAATGGCTTTGCTAAGTATGTTGTGTTTGAGTTCTTTCTCTATGCATAGCAACTAGAAAACACTGGAAATTCTTCAGCTATTTATGAGATACGTCTCTATGTCTCTATCCAAGATGTATTTCTTGGTTCTGTCCCTGGGTAGGTCTTCTATAACTGCTGTTTGGGACCCAGCAGGGACATATTACCCCCTGCTCAGCAGATTAGACTTACAACTTGAGGTTATAGAGTAGCCATCCAATATGTGAAGCCTAAGGGTTTGTTCACGTTGCAGCCCTTCCTAACAGTTTTCTGATTCATGCTGTGTGGTCTTGTCCCTGCAAATGCTGGATATGTTATACCTACCTGCTCTGAGCAGCCCTGATCATCCCTCTTCTCCCATTGGTGCTCCTGGCTTTAACCCTTGCTGTGCAGCATGTCTGATGTGGGGGTGCAGTAAAAAATGTCAAGGGGGCAGAGGATGCAAGATCAGTGGGGCAATGTAAAGGAGTCAGTAGGGCAGTGTATGGGGGTCTGCTGGACGGAGGACAGGGGGTCAGTAGGGAAGTGTACAGGGGTCAGCAGGACGGAGGACAGGGTGTTAGCAGAATGGAGGACAGGGGGTCAGTAGGGCAGTGTGTAGGGGTCAGCAGGACAGAGAACATTGGGTCAGCAGGATAGAGGACTGGGGGGGTCAGCAGGACAGGGGATAGGGAGTCAGCAGGATGAAGGTCAGGGGGTCACCAGGACAGAGGTCAGGGGGTCAAATCTCCCCATTTCCCCTCTTAACCAATATCCCACCAGCCTCTCCTAGCACAAATTACCCTCCCCCCATTCCTCCATGTAGCTGCAGAAATCCAACTCCCCCCCCCCCACCCCCTGAAATTGCCCTACCCAGCACAAATAGCCTCCCATCCACAAACCTTTTACTTGAACCCAAGCTGGTCCCAGTATAATTCCCCACCTGTGTGTTCCAACCACCCTCGAAAAAAAAAAAAATTACAATAAGGGAAAAGATAGAAGCGGAGGAGGTATGCTGTGCTGGGCTGTACTCTCCTGCTCCTGTCAGAACTGCGATTCTTCATGTAGCAGATGACACAGGAATCGCTCTTCATCGGGCTGTACACACAGGTTTGATTAGCTTCCCCCTATGTCCTCCAAGGGCTGAACATCTCCCAGGAGTGGGAAATGTGGCTAGGGGGCACGTAATCAAACCTGTGTGTACAGCCCGATGAAAAGCGATCCTGTGTCACCTAGAAAAGGCACAAATAGGGATAAGTGAGCGCTAAAAGTCAATGAAGCTGCTAAACACCAAAAGGTACCAAAAACCTCCAAAATAACCATATAAAACCAGGGTGTAGTGCTAAAATCAACATACAAATGAATAATTCAAGGTATAAAATAGAGCCGGTAAAATCAAAATCATGCAATCACAGGTGACAATTGTAGATGATCAGTAGTGACTTAATGATTCTATAAATAAAGTATTGCTCTCAACTGTTATGATAATATCATATAAAACATGAAATATGGCAAAATATTATATATAAGTGACACAAGTGATAAAGTGCTGGCGAATAAATAAAGTGATTGAATAGTGATTCACTCCGTCACTAAATAGTAACCAATGGTGTGAAAAGTGCTGCAAATGATGATCAGCATATAGTCCAATATAAGGTGCATAGGAGATCGTGATGATCTTCAATATTTGGTGATCTTATCCAGCAAAGTGGTGGTGTGGCCCAAATAGTGAAGACTGTGCACTCACCAGATGCGCAATCAAAAAGCGCATTTAGAGCTATCACCCTCAGAAACCTGGAGGTCCCTTTCAGGTCTGGACTGGTCAGGTGTCCCCCACATTCCAACATCTGCTGCTAGCAGTGGCTCAATCGTTCTGTAAGTGGTGTAAGCTCCTGTGCTGATTAATGAGCATACGGAAAGAAATTCTGCTTGTGTTGAATCTATCCAGGAAATACTGGATATTGCTACTGACAAATGGATCAAAGCCGTACTTCTCTTTGTATTCAATCACTCCTTGGGCCATGGTGGGGACCACATCATTTTGTCGTTTCTTCACTTGTTTGAGGACATTTAAAAAGTCATAAAGTACATCAGGATCATCTGGGCTCTTATTCTCATATTCTAAAAGTTCAAGAAAACTTTGCATGTACCAGGATCGTACTAGCTTGACTGATGGTCTTTGGAGTAAACTTTCAGGCAGCAGGTTGACCTCTTTCAGTGTATTGGCAAGTCATACTGGTAGTTCCTTCCTCAAGAAAAGGTATGAGGTTTTTTCACAAGCATTATTGCGTCCTCATTTGCCCCTTCTCTCAAGGTCTTCCTGTTGGGTCTCGTCGAGGACCTGGCCCCTATCATAGCCAAGAGCTCTTGCTAGCTAGCTCTTGAGCCATTGCTAGCAGCGGATGTTGGAAAGTGGGGGACACCTGACCAGACCAGACCTTAAAGGGACCTCCAAGTTTCTGAGGGTGATATCTCTAAATGCGCTTATTGATTGCGCATCTGGTGAGTGCGCAGTCTTTACTATTTGACCACTTTGCTGGATAAGATCACCAAATATTGAAGATCATCACGATCTCCTATGCACCTTATATTGGACTATATGCTGATCATCATTTGCAGCACTTTACACACCATTGGTCACTATTTAGTGACGGAGTGAATCACTATTCAATCATTTTATTTATTTGCCAGCACTTTATCACTTGTGTCACTTATATATAACATTTTGCCATATTTCATGTTTTATATGATATTATCATAACGCTTGAGAGCAATACTTTATTTATAGAATCACTAAGTCACTATTGATCATCTACAAATGTCATCTGTGATTGCATGATTTTGATTTTACCAGCTCTATTTTATACCTTGAATTATTCATTTGTATGTTGATTTTAGCGCTACACCCTGGTTTTATATGATCCTGTGTCACCTGCTGCATAGATGATTGCTGTTCTGACAGGAGGAGAGCACAGACCGCACCTCCTCTCCACTATCACAGTGAATTCTCTAGGACCTTCCGATTTAGTGCCTGGGGTTGGGCGCAGCTCACCCCAGCACCCCCTAGATCCGGCCATGCTGTGCAGGCACAAGGAGGGTTTTTACTTTTACTAGAGTTAGACATTAGATTGTGTGGGCTTTCACTGTTGCTGACCTATATTTATTGCCATCATATTGAGGAATCAGCAGTATGTGATTAGATACTGTATTTTATTTTTACTGTCTTCTGTCTGATGTTGAATACCACTCCATGTACAATAAAGCATGCACTCCTCAAGTACAACACAGATGCTGGCATGTTTCCAGTGAAGTCTCACTTTTTAAATCCAAGGAACACTGCAAAAACTAGAATGCAATAAAACTTGTTTGTTTATTTGAAAGCTAGCAGGAACACACTGACACATTGCTTTGGACACATCCCTCATGCCCCGTGGCCTGTGTCTGAATGGCTGGTGACGTTGCCCAAATAGGCCTCCTGCCCTGTCCACCCAACAAGAAGAAGAAGTACCCACTACAAATCCTATAGTCTATATTCCTTCTTGGGAGTGAAAAAGAGAGGTAACAACATTCCTACATATATAGCGGGAAGTCATATATATAGGAAGTCAGATCACAACAGCAAAAAATTGAAATTTGGAGGTTTGGAGGGGCTCAGAGCAATATAAGTGTCCCTTTAACGTTTCCCTACTATATACAAGAAAGACAATGTTTTGGCTTTACATGCACTTTTTCTAGTTAAACTATATGCAAGTAACATTTTCAGTAGCTGGTTTGCTCACCTAGTGACATCTATTACAATTAAGTAGTGAGACCATATACAGTATGTCCTGTTTGAAGACATCAGTGTGTGTTCCCCTATAAAAATATATTTTCTTGTTCTTACAGGACTGGTTTTCTAGGTCCCAAGGATCAAAGGATTTTCCTTTTCCTGCGTGGATTCCTTGGTTCTGGTGCGATGATTCTCCTGTACTATGCGGTCCAGTCCATGCCGTTGGCGGATGCCACAGTCATCACTTTCAGCAGTCCTGCCTTCACCTGCATATTTGCCTGCATATGCCTGAAGGAGAAATGCACTGTGTGGGATATAGTCTTCATAGCCTTCACTATAACTGGCGTCATCCTTATAGCTCGTCCACCATTTCTGTTTGGGTCAAACAACAATGACCTCGAGGAAGATTACTCTCAGCATGTTAAAGGGACTATAGCTGCCATAGCAAGTGCAATCTGTGCCTCGCTAACCCTGGTGGTGTTAAGAAAAATGGGCAAGTCTGTGCACTACTTGCTCTCCATTTGGTATTACGCTGTGATCGGTCTCATTGAGTGCATCATTGCCCTGTCAATTATTGGTGAATGGCGTTTGCCTTACTGCGGACTAGACAGGTGGCTTCTGGTACTTATTGGGATCTTAGGTTTGGGAGGCCAAGCGTTTCTTGTTAAAGCTTTACAAATTGAAAAGGCTGGATTGGTAGCCATCATGAGGACAATGGATGTGGTCTTTGCTTTTATTTTCCAGGCCTTGTTCCTCCACCACACTCCAACGTGGTGGACACTTGGAGGTGCCTTGTGCATTGTGGCCAGTACAGCTGGTGCTGCTGTTCTCAAATGGTACACAAGTTCAAAAAAGGCAAAAGAAAAAGCGAGTTATAGATAGAAAATGGCTGGAGATATGACAAAGTCCGTTCAGGCCATGGTTGATTCTCATAGGTTAAAAGGCCTTGATTTTTATGCAGACAGTTGAATCTACTGAACCATGATGAATATCTCTGCATTCTTTGCAGAAGTAGAGGATTATGGGAAAATGGCATTGGTGCTGCTGCTTGTCTTTGATTCTCTTATTATTCATGGTTATATTCCAGTGATTGAAGACCAGAAAACCAAGTCTAACTCAGGCTCAGTCCCTGGAGCCCCCTTTCCTGGAGATTCCCCCAGCAGTATGATTCTATTTATTTATTTTTTAAATACTTACCTTTTTAAAATTCACCAGGCTGGTCCTGTTACTTCCTGTGTCACTTTCAGTCTTCCTTCAGCAGTGCGCGGTCCTCTGATAATACAAAATCTTTTGATTTGGATGATGCTGGGTGTCAACGTCAAAGATTGAGAGCATCTGGTAATGATAAGGAAGTACTGTGAGTAAATGCTCCAGGTTGGAGATTGGTATTGCAGCCTGTGTTGGCTTTTGATTTTAAGCTGCAGCTGGGGAACTATTTAAACCCAAAACCAAAAATGCTTATCAATCATTGGAAGTGGTGGATGCATTAGTTTTCTTTTCTATTCTTTCCCTCTTTGTTTTCACCTGATGATCTGGACAGAAGATCACATCCTGATTTTAGACGTGCCCCCACTCTGGATGAGATAGCACAGGAGGCACCTTTGAACAGCAGCATTGTCAGTCAGGGAGTGTTAGGTGGACTAGTAGATTTAAATACAGTAACAAATTGAAGCTAAACTCCATCTAACACTTTATAAGCAGTTACAGCAAACAGCGTTTTCCTTTTGAGATAAAGGTTTTAAATAAAAAAAAGCTGATAATTGTATACACACCTGCTAGTGTTAAATGGTTTTTGCTCATCTCTGTAACTGATACATTCTGCTGGAGAGCTTGTTCTTTTGAAAAACAACCAACTTACTGGCTGGAGCACCAGATGAAAATAGAAAAAAAAACTAAAAATGAATGCAGTCATCACCTCTAAGAATTGGTAAGCTGCAGTATGATAAATGTTTTCTCTAGGGTTTAGTACCGCTTTCATTTTAAAAAAAATGCTGAAAGTGTAGCTTTACATAGCTGAAGCACAAATATATGCTGATAGCAAAATAAAAGCTGAGGCAAATAGAGACTTGACATATTTTATTGGACAATAATATAGTTTTGTAATTCTTGAATACATTTTGATTGCAATATTTATATTTGCAAAATTGTTGAAACTGTAATCAAGCAATTTCCATTGACTTTTGATCTTAGCTATATACATATATTTATGTGATGTCCTGTTAAATTATATTTATTTATAATACAATGGTTCTCTATCTCATGGCTCCTAATCAGGAGAATAATGTACAGACAGTTCACATTTCATTGCCAATTACACTATGAGATTTATGTAATTTTCCTGTATACAGAAGGGGTAGGCAACCTTAAAGAGGTGGAGATCTACCGACTTCTCACACCTGACTTAAACCTCTAATTGCCATACAAGCATGTCAATCGTGTGCAATCGCGTGCATGGGTTTAAATCAGGTGGTTGTCAAACACACTTGGATCGCTTTTCAGAGGAGCAGAAGTGCTTGCTGCACTTGTGAATGAGCCCTTAGTTGCATTCAGTAGTGGCACCCTTAGGGCTCGTTCACACATACAGTTCAGGAGTGGTAAAAACCCATGTGGTATCACTCTGCATGGGACAGGAACCAGTACTACAGAGGAGGCATTGGCTTATGCGGCTCTTGCTCCCTGCTATGACTCCAGCTTCACAATTAGCCCCTGCATTGCACTGTTTGGTGCTCTGGGATGGTGGGTTAGCAAGCCCATACCATGATCTGTCAGTCACTTGGCCACGATCTACTGGTAGATCGCAATCTACAGGTTGCTGACCCCCGGTATACAGTAATTCAAAAAACAGGGAAGTACTCAGCGATGACTTAAGCCTGCCATACATTAATTGAAAATTGTCTGTTTCAGCAGGATAGGCCAAATTTTGATCTATGTATAGACACCCTGGTTGTATACAAGACAATCTATCAATCGACTTCTGTACAACCAGCCTGTCAGGTCTTTCCTGAACAATTAGTGCTGCTGGGCAACACTAATCATTGTGTTCTGCTGGTAGTAGGGGAGGGATTCCCCCATTAATACTCGATGGCGGAATAAAGCAATTTTCTTTTTCCACCCATGGTGGAAGGAAAGAAAATTGCATAATCTATGATTTGCCTTAGAGCACAAAGTAAGATGTCAGCTTTCATAGATGCGGTATTAGTTGTTATGGAACTTCTAGCAAAATATGCCATAATAAATTATCCTAATTGTCTGTAGTGCTCTGGATGGATAATGACAGGCATTGGTAGAACTACAAACCTAAGCAAAGCAATTAATCATTTGCATGTAATGCAAATATATAGCTGCTGTTACAATGAATATGTTTCCTAGTTTAGGGATAATTATTATCTAAATAATTTAGACATTGATTTTAAATTAACTTTATTTTTTATAGCGTTGTGACGTTAATATAGTTGCGTATGACCTTTTATGTACAATATAATATATATATATGTGTATATATATGTGTGTGTGTGTGAGTGTATATATATACAGTGGGTATAAAAAAGAATCACCCCCCTTTAAAATAATCACATTTTGTTGCTTTGCAGCCAGAAATGCTGTATTTACTCAGTGCAGATTAACATCACATCCAAGTGAAATATATAACACCAACATGTCAGAAACTAAAAAAAAAAAAAAAAAATCAAAAACAGAATGACTAAACTGGAAAAAAGGTCACCCCCTCCTAAAAAATAACTTGTAAACTCAAGGTGTAGCTAATCACCTTCTCATTGGCACACAAAGCCATTTGACTTTCAAGTGTAATCAGCTGTGGTCATTTTTATTAGCTCAGCATGAAAATAACTTTCCTGGAGCATTTTAGTCCATGGTGGTGCAACTGAAACAATCAACTATGGGGGGCAAGGCAAGTCAAAAGATCTCCTGGATAAAGTTGTGGACAGGCACAAGTCAGGAGAAATTTCAAAGGCTTTATTAATGCCTAGGAGCACACTGAAGTCTATTATGAAGAAGTGGTAAAACACAGATCCTCGCTGGATCAGGATGTCACTCCAAACTGGATGAAAGAGCCAGGAGGAAACTGGTCAAAGAGGCTACCAAGAGGCCTACAGCAACTCTGAAGCAGTTGCAGGGAATTTATGATAACGAGTGGCTATTGTGTGCATGTGACAACAGTATCACAAATTCTCCACAAATGCGGCTTGTATGGGAGGTTGCAAGAAAAAAGCCACTTCTCATGAAAGACCACTTGCAGTCACCACTGAGCTTTGCCAAAACACACCTTGAAGATTCTGAGGCCACATGGAAAAAAGGTGTTATGGTCAGATGAGACTAAAATTGAATTATTTGGCCTCAATACTAAACAATATGTCTGGAGGAAATCCAACACAGCTCATCATCCAAATAACACCATTCCTACAGTAAAGTATGGAGGTGGTAATATCCTGTTATGGGGATGTTTCTCTGCAGCAGGGGACTGGAGCACTTGTCAGGATAGAAGGAAAAATGGATGGGGCAAAAACCCATCAATTCTTGAGGAAAATCTGCTGCCCTCTGCCAGAAAGTTGTCAATGGGAAGAGGGTTTACCTTCCAACATGACAATGACCCAAATGGGTGATTGTCCTTACATGGCGTAGTCAGAGCCCAGACTTAAACCCCATTGAAAATCTGTGGAATGACTTGAAGACTGCAGTCCACAAATGGTCACCATCACATTTAACTGAACTTCAGCAGTTCTGCAAAGAAGAGTGGGCAAATATTGCAAAGTCTAGAAGTGCAAAGTTAGTAGAGACATATCCCAACAGACTAAAGGATGTAATTAAAGCAAAAGGTGGTTCAACAAATTAATGACTTAAGGGGTGATCCTTTTTCAATTTCAGTTATTCTGTTTTTGACTGTTTTTTATTTTTTTGATATGTTGGTGTTATATCTTTCACTTGGATGTTACAAGTTGCAGATAGTAAATAGAGCTGGATAAAACAATAACTGTGTCTGCCTTCCTTTCAGGCTGCAAGCAACAAAATGAGTTTATTTTAAAGGTGATTCTTTTCTACACCCACTGTGTGTGTGTGTGTGTGTGTATATATATATATATATATATATATATAGGCTAAAAATCTCAGCCAGGGCACCACCTGCCTGGAGTTTGCATGTTCTCCCTATGCCTGCGTGGGTTTTTCTCCCACACTCCAAAGACATGCTGGTAGGTTAATTGGCTCCTGTCTAAATTGGCCCTAGTATGTGTATGTATGAATGTGAGTTAGGATCCTTAGATTGTACGCTCCTTGACGGATAGGGACTGATGTGAATATACATATATGTAAAGCACTGCATAATTTGACGGCGCTATATAAGTACCTAAAAATAAATAAATTATTGAAAAAAAATGTGTATATATATATATATATCAGATATCCAACCAACCTTCCTCCCTCCCTTTCCCACGATCCCCTGTCCACCATGTGCTTATTGTAAGTTTCTAGAGAAACAACAGATTCACAGATACCCAAACGTTGCACAGGGATGGATGATGCACAGGGATGGATGATGCACAGGGATGAGTGATGTTTACAATCCCAGGTGCTCGTGTACTCCACAATGCTTAAGCTGGCTATAGACGGGTAGTTTTTTTTTTTTGTTTTGTTTTTTCATTTAGCCAGCAGGGACATTGTATTCTGGAAGCCTGGCACATGCAACAGTCTGTTTTGCTTGGGCCACAGAGTATGCCCTATAGGGTACACAGAAGCCAAGCACTCTAAACAGTGTCTGGCATCACAGGGTATCGTCTTTTATATCTGTCTATGATGAGAATAGTATAGAGGTGGGTGGGAGCTGCTGTGTACTTTTGAAAGTAAATGTACAAGGATATAATGCCAAAAAA